ATTTGTTACTTTCATTTTTACCTTGGAGCTAGTAAAAAAATTTAAATAACATATTCAGTTATAGTTTTGTTTATTTATATAGGCAGTGGTTAAGAGGTTTGGAGTTAGATAACTAGAAGTCTCTCAGTGTCATAGTTTGACCTTGGCTAATTTATTCAACTTCTCTTATCCTTAATTTCCTCATTTGTGTGTTGGGGATGATAATCTCTTATCAGTGAGTTTTTTCATTAACTGGTAGCTGTTTTTGGAAAGTGCTTAGAACAGTGCCTCGCACATAGGAAGTCCCTAATAAGTGTTTTTGTTTTGTTTTGTTCTTTATTGTTATTACTCTTAGTACTTAACTGTTTAGGCTTGGTGATGTCCCTACTTTGCTTGAAAAAGAATGCTGTACTTCATTATAATAGATCTCTTTTAGCTTCCTAGGCAGCACAGTCTTCACAGTGTTGACGGGTCCAGCATTAGAGTTTTTCATCATGTGGGAAGACATAGTTTGTTCCTAGCCTGAGTTCACATAGTAAGCCAAAAGTAAAGCCACAGTTAGAATTTAGATTTTCAGAACCCTTTATAGTCTGATTTGCAGTTTCATAGAACTTAATATATAAGAGGGGTTGCCATGTAACCTAGGTCCTATGGTCATATAGATCTAAGAGTTATTTGTGACTTGTAGTTGCTAGATATATGTTTGGCACAGGGCATGATAGTTACAAGAAGAAAAGAGTGTAAGACCAATCCTCTTTACCACATGTGTACACGCACCTGTACTTAACCACTTGCTCTCCTATACATGCTCACCCACACACCGGAAAAGCTTTTTAAAAAAATAGCCTGCTAGTTGATTTTGAATGGGTCATTATACTTGGACAAGGCCCGTCAAGCTATTTAAATAGATAGGCATGCCCACTTGTAAACCATCAGTTCTTGGCAAATGAACTAAAGCTCTTTCCAGAGAATGCAGCTGTGAAGAGTATGTGTGTGTTAAAATAAGTAAGTGCACAATTGGCAGATACTTCATCTGTCCTCTAGGTAATTATAGCAGATAGTTAATCTTGTGATTTTTGTAATAATTTTGGCTCTTACGTTCATAGTGATTACCTTTTTGCCAGCTCAGCTGGGTGCTTTGTTTTTACTGGCTGTTAAGTTTAGACGGACACATTTAATGACTAAAAATTAAGAAAAACCAATAAGGTGAAAAAATTCAGATCCTTTCCTTTTTATTTATGGACTTTAATTTTTAAAATTTTACTAATTTAGTAAAATCACTATATTTGAATTAAATTTAGTTAAGTTTAAGTATTGATTTCATAAATTACTAGAAAATGGAACTTAAGAATAAAGCAGATGAAAATGTAGAAAATGGTGAAAAGTTAATGGGCTTATGCTATCCAGTCAATAAACTAAAGTGATATTAGTAACATACTAGTAACAAAACATGGGAAATGCCTTGAGTTTTTCCTTTGTATTTTCCCATATAGCCTCAGAAAGAATGTTAAATCTTTGCTGATTTTATCTCTTGCCCATGTTTTTTCACATAGACATTATGCTATTTATCCTTGTAATTTATATTTGGGGACTTAGGCAGTTTATTTTATATATGTGCCTTTAGCTATTGGTATAATGCACAGTTATTTTACTACATGAATGTTCATTTTAGATAAATTAGAAAATAAAGATGAACATGGGGTGGGGTAAGACATATAATTCCAACTCTATCATTGTTAACATTTCCATGTCCTATCTAATAATAGACAAACATGGTAATTGACCATACCTTCACTACGCCTCCCATTGGCTAATCAGTGTGATATACAAATTAACCACCAACAGCCGAAACCGGTTTGGCTCAGTGGATAGAGTGTCGGCCTGCGGACTGAAAGGTCCCAGGTTCGATTCCGGTCAAGGGCATGTACCTGGGTTGTGGGCATATCCCCAGTGGGAGGTGTGCAGGAGGCAGCTGATCGATGTTTCTCTCTCATCGATGTTTCTAACTCTCTATCTCTCTCCCTTCCTCTCTGTAAAAAATCAATAAAATATATTAAAAAAAAAAAAATTAACCACCAACAAACATGGCGGCTAATTTGCATACTGCAGGCGGGGCCGGCAGCACACGACGCTGCCTGTGGGACCTGGGCCCCGGACCCCTAACCCGGTGAGGCGGGGCCGGTAGCGCCCGATGCTGCCCGGGAGATCCGGACCTTGGATCCGTGACCTGGCGAGAGCAAAGCGGCGGAGAAGGGAGAGAGCCCAGGTGGCAGAGAAGGGAGGGAGCTGAGGGCTAAGCAGCGAAGGGAGGGAGCGAGGCAGCGGAGAAGGGAGCAAAGCCTGCCTCGGTGGGCTTCGCTCCCTTCACTGCTTCGCTGCGGTCTCAGGAAGCCCTATTCTTGCAGGAATCTTCCTGCAATGGGCCTCTAGTCCTATATAACAAAAGCCCAGCGGCAGAATGACTGGTTGACCAGTTGTTATGATGCACACTGACCACCAGGGGGCAGATGCTCAACACAGGAGCTGCCCCCTGGTGGTCAGTACACTCCCACAGTGGGAGCGCTGCTCGGCTTACCACAGCAGGACTAGCCGCTCAGAGGGCAAGTCCATAGCCACTTGGCTGACCAGGATGAGCAGCGCTCCCACAGCGGGCCAATCACCGCAGGCCACACCCCCCACCAGTGCACAAATCCCGTGCACTGGGCCTCTTGTATTTCTTTAATTTTCTGACTTCTAATATATGTAGTCTATGAATGAGGCAGTATAATAGGTATTCTTATTCAGTAATTCTTTTAATTTACTCATCAGGAAATAATTAATGCCATCTTTGGATAGAAAGTCAGATGACTTCTAAGATCATTTCAACTAAGTCTAGGATTTTTGATCACCTTGAAACATTGTACTTTATTGCACAATTTATAGTTCTTTTTCCCATTATCCTGATAAAATCTTTTCTGTGATTTTTCAGTAAAAGCACAGTTTTTATCATTTAAATGCTTATAAATCTCATATGTTACTGACTTCAATTTAGGGAGAAAAGACTATTCAGACAGTGCCAACGGGAGCAAAGCCAGCTATCATCACTGCTACAAGACCCATCACCAAAATGATTGTAACGCAACCAAAAGGAATAGGTTCCACAGTTCAACCAGCAGCTAAAATCATCCCAACAAAAATTGTTTATGGGCAGCAAGGGAAAACACAGGTATGCTGTAAGATATGGTGATTTTTCATGGCTCAGGTATATTTTAAATTCCTAAAATTCCAAAGTAGAAATTTGAATGAAAAGATCAGTAATATTTTTTAAAAATTATTAAAAGTTATGACTACATGTGTATAATTATCCATCTGTTTTCAAACCCTTTGTTTCACTCCTCACACTTTTAAAAATATCTAAATATTTGTATCTTATTAAGAGCAAAGATTGGAGAAAATCCCCTTGGAATAAAATTTGTTGAAGTTATGTATTGTTATTTGAGGAGTATAATGTTGAGGAAGAATGGTAGTTATTTAGCAACTCTCAGAGAAAATTATTTACTTTTAATAAGCTAATAGGGCCTTTGAAAGCACTTTATTTACTTAAAAAATTTGCTTTACTTGAAACTTAAATAGTAGAGAAGCTAGTGATCTGTTCATTTTTTCTACTACTAAGGGAGCTTTTCTGGAAATTTGCTTGGGAAATTGAGGCTCAGGAATTAATCTTATGTTGCTGGGCTGCTGTGTATTTTACATGATGTCTGAGAATATCAAAGGAAGCAAGGTAGCTTTGGTTGAGAAATGCTATTCTAGAATTTTTGTAAAAAGTAGTAATTTACCTATAAAATAATAATTTGCGTTTAGAATGATTCCTTAGAGTTATAGCTAAATAGTTTACTATCTAAACAAGTAAGTTTGATGATTAGAAGTAAGTCCAAATTGCCTTTAAGATTCAACTGGAACAATTTTATTTGTTCCATTATCTAAGTTGTATTATGTTTTCATTCTTGAATTCTTAGAAATGGGTTACTTAATAGAGTCTGAAAAGGTTTAAAATCTTATATGTGGGAGAAATAAAACATAAATGTGGTGAGTTAACATTATTCCATGTACCCAATTGAAGTCAACTCCAAGAGTCCAAATTTTGAAGTAAAATGGTTCACTTTGAAAAGCTTTCTTCATTTCACTTGCTTTGGTGTCTGTGGTTTTCACCTTTGCCAAGGGTTGATCTACCACATAGTCCATATTGCTTCTAATAGTTGACTACATCATTGCCCCTCGTGGGATTTTTTCAAAGATGATTTCAGTCCCAAGCAAGTTTACTTTGTATACATGTGTCAGGAATTTCATTTGGTTACTAATGATAGGAAAACCAAAGAACAGTGACTTAAACAAAGTAAGGTTTTATTTTTACTATGTTAATTAATGTTCAGACTGGTGAAATCTGGAACTGTTATTGTGACACAAAAATTCCACTGGGAATCTAGGCTTTTTGTATCTTTCTTGTGACTCATTTCTACTATATAGCCTAGATTGTAAAATGACTCCTGAATACATCATAGGCAAGGAAAAAGAGGGGCAGATGCTCTTGTCAGAATCATGGCTGTTATATGGCATGTACCACTTAAAATGTTTTATGTAGCTTGACTATAATTTGCTCATAGATTGAATTAGTCTTTGATGAACAATGTTGTGCCCAAAACATAGTAAATGTACCAAATACTGTTTTGTACACCAAAGAAATATTATTGTTCATGACATAGAAGTTTAACATTTTAAATAGTGCTCTAAAATTTGAACTTGGTATATTTCTGCTTTTCTCCTAGGTTCTTATTAAACCCAAACCAGTGACATTTCAAGCCACAGTTGTTAGTGAACAAACAAGGCAGCTGGTCACAGAAACATTACAGCAAGCATCCAGGGTGGCAGAGGCCAGTAATTCTTCTATTCAGGAGGGAAAAGAAGAACCACAAAGTTATACAGATAGTTCCTCTTCTACAGAGTCCTCCCAAAGTTCCCAAGGTGAGATTCATTTTATACAATTACTGCTGACAATAGTGCCCTAGTTCCAGAATAGTTGCATCTAGAAATTTTAAATAAATATGGTTTGATTTGTCACTTCTTTTGATTTTATTTTCTTTTGTTTGATATGTAATTAGTGAGCTGAAGTTTTGTTTTTGGTAAGGCCTACCATTCTTTACTGCATGGCATATGTTCATCAAATAATTGGTAAACTTAGGATAATGATTTTGACAGGTAGGTATTACAAACTGCTTAGAGCTATGATTCCTCCCTCCTGTTTTCTTTGGGTAGGTAGAAGTATGCAAGAAAGTGAATATACCTTTTGAAATGGTTGTTGCCGAATCTTGAGAAAGAGTCAAGGTGGCCAGAGGTAGGCTACAAGTGGGCTGTAAGTAGGCTATCATGCATTGCAGTTTGCATGGGACAAGTCCTAGTTTATGTCTGTTCTAGCATTATTATTAATAGCATTCCCTTTCATTCTCAAAGGTATCCCAGTTTAGATAATAATTATATGACTCTCCTAATTATAAGGAAGGGGCTATGAAGCCATAATTCATAGTAGGGAAGCTTTTTGTTTTCAGTGCTGTTTTAATTATGTTCTTCTAGGAAATCACTTGAAAGATCATGATCATAATCTTTGAGACCTTCTACAAATCTAATACTCAGTTACCTTAAATCACTCTTACTGTCAGGCAGTATGTTATGCCCATGCTTATGCACTCTGATGCATCTAAGCAAAGCTGTTTATATTCCCTCGGTCATTCCTAGTCACTCTATTTCTCTCCCTGCCTTCCCATTATCCTTTCTGCAGTGCTTTGTTAGCACCTTTCTAATATAGATTCTTCATATTGTGCAAACACTTCATTATTTGTTAGTTTATACTATGTACTAAGCATTATGCTAGACCCTAGAAAGGCTGAGTAAAATATAGTAGTTCTTGCTCGTTAGGAGCTTAAACTCTAGAGTAGGGGATTAAAAAAAATTAAATGTACAACTTCAGTGTAAGAATTTTATTAGTAACAAAATGTTATTACTAATAAAAATACCAAATGCTAAAAGTTCATACTCCAGTGAGGAGCAGATGAGAAAGCCTCATTAAGAAGTAGCATTTGAAATGGTCTTTGAAAACTCATCAATTCAAAGTAAATAAAAAAGTCGATTTTAACAAATGAAAACTATGTCACTCATTTTATAAAATACATAAAGTATTTAGCTTATGCATTGGTTCTAAAAGGGGGACATGAATATATATATTCTATATAATAAAAGTGTAATATGCTAAGTGTCTGATCTATTGGTCGACCTCGACCAGTCGCTATGGCATGCACTGACCACCAGGGGGCAGACGCTCCGACCGGTAGGTTAGCTTGCTGCTGGGGTTTGGCCGATTGGGACTGGGCGAGAGGGCTGGACATGCCCTGGAGCCGTCCCACAGTCCCTCCCTGGCCGGCCAACCTCCTGTGGTCCCTCCCCAGCTGGCCAACCCCCATGGGCCCTGATGGGAACTGGGTGAGCTGGCCCCAGTCGGCCCCATCGCTGGCCAGGCCCAGGAGGTGGGGGGCAGGAATGGGACCCCACTTGTGCACAAATTTGTGCACTGGGTCTCTAGAGCAGTGATTCTCAACCTTCTGGCCCTTTAAATACAGTTCCTCATGTTGTGACCCAACCATAAAATTTTTTTCGTTGCTACTTCATAACTGTAATGTTGCTACTGTTATGAATCATAATGTAAATATCTGATATGCAGGATGGTCTTAGGTGACCCCTGTGAAAGGGTCGTTTGATCGCCAAAGGGGTCGCGACCCACAGGTTGAGAACCGCTGCTCTAGAGTGTGTGTGTGTGCGTGTGTGTGCGTGTGCGCGCGCATGCGCGCGCATCTGTATCTGAGATTATATATATACTAGTAGCCCTGCGCACAAATCCATGCGCAAGTAGCTCGCTGCTGCTTGCCTCAGCTGGCTGCCTGGCCCACTGCCGCTCATAGCTCTCTGCCGCTCATAGCTCACTGCCCCGCCCTCCTGCTGTTGGTCATTACATGTCACAGCATAACGACCATTTGCATATTACTTCCTTATTATATAGGATAATCTCAGATGATCTTTTAAAATTGTTCTTCTTTTCCTAAGGGAGCCCTAAATCAATCAGGACTTTCCAAACATGTCACTTCATTAGTGAGTCTTCAGTTGTCATTCTAAGAATGGTGCAAGAGTTTGGCTATTTCTAGATGTGACTGACTATAAGGTTTTCCTGCTCTGATCTATTATAATATAAGCATCATCATCTGTTTTTATTTATTTTCTTTCATTTTGTATTTTAAAAAATATTCTGTAATACAGACATACTTTATAGTTCAAGACTAAGCATATCTAATGTAATTGAATATGAAGCCAGTTTTTATAATCTGCATTTACCCTTCTTCCCATATCCTTGTATAGCTCTTTAGTACATAGTCACAAAGACAAGGTGTTGGGAATATATATGCTGTGATTTAAAGAGAAAGGGATAGCCCTAACTGGTTTGGCGCAGTGGATAGAGCGTTGGCCTGCAGACTGAAAGGTCCCGGGTTCGATTCTGGTCAAGGGCATGTACCTTGGTTGCGGGCACATCCCCAGTGGGAGGTGTGCAGGAGGCAGCTGATCAATGTTTCTCTCTCATCAATGTTTCTAACTCTCTCCCTCTCCTTCCTCTCTGTAAAAAATGAATTAAATATATTTTTAAAAAAATAAAAATAAAAAATAAAGAGAAAGGGATAAACGATTGAGCAGTCTAAAATTGTGCTGTTTTGAGTATTTGAGTGTTATAACTGCTAGGAATCTAAGCACTAGTTAGATGTCCATTTTTCTTTTATATTGCTTTTGTGGTTTTTAGCGCCACCTCCTCCCCACCCCGCAAGTAGCAACATTTTTTAATGTAATTTAAGATAGGAGAAAGTAGCAGGAAGAGTAAAAAGAACTCCTGTGTATACTCTTTATCTAGATTCACCACTAGTTTACATTTTGCCCTGTTAGCTTTGTTGTTGCTTCTCTAACTAAACCCCTCCACCCCGCCCCCCCCCCCCCATTTGAGAACAAGTTATAGATATCATGTCCTTTACCCCTAAATACTTACATTTGTAGGTTCATATTTCTTAAGGGTTAGTCTATTCATAACTAAAATGCAGTTACCAAAATCAAGAAATTTAAAGCTATGATTTTATAATCTATAATCCATTCAAATGTCATCAATTGTCTAATAATATTCTTTATACTTTTTTCTTCAGTCCACAATCTAATTCAAGACTGCATTGCATTTAGTTGCATTTAATTATCATGGCTCTTCATTTTCCTTTAACTTTAGTCGATCCTTCAGCCTTTCTTTGTGTTTCTTGATCTTGACATTTTTGAAGAGTATAGAGCAGTTACTTTGTAGAATATTCTTCTGTTGTTTTGTCTGATGTTTGCTCTTGATTAAATTCAGCAAGAATTCCACAGATATGATATTGTGTGCTTAGTTTTATCTCATTAGTAGGCACATGATGTTAGTTTGTCCCTATATTGATGTTAATTTAATGTTGATCAATTGGCTGAGGTGATATCTTCCCCATTTGTGAGGAGATACTTTGAAACTATATAAATATTATGTTCCTCGTTAAACATTTATCTTCTAGTTTTAGCATCCATTGATGATTTTCTAAAGTTCATTATTTGTATATTTGATAGTTGGCATTCTACTGTAAAAATAAATCAACCTACTTTTTATTTCAGATGTTTTTCTGATGATTTGTCTTACACAAGTCCTGGAAATAAGGATATTTCTTATGCCAGGGGAATTTTTTTATTCTACTTATAGTTTCTAACTTTTCCCATTATCTCCCACCCACCCCCAAGGAGGTGAGGAATAAATCAAAGTTAAGCAAAGCATACTTACTGCATAACTTTTCAGAGCTGTTATGTGCTAATATGAGGAGTGTAGTATATAATGTAAAATGCTCCCCAACTTTTTTGACCATGGGACCCTTTTTTTGTAGAACATCTTGAGAAATTAATGTTCTCTGGAACATTTTGGGTGATGCTGTCTAGACAATTAAATACTATGAAGGCCTTAGGCTTTATGACAATACTTCAGAGGGAAGGTACATGTTACATCATAAAAAGGATGTAGACATCTTGGGTTTAGTTTAGAAGAGATGGTTTAGTTGGGTAAGGCATCTGGGAATCATTTTATATGAGGAATGGTTAGTGAAGACAGACCATTTATCATGGAGAAGAGATGATGAAGATTGAGTTGGGTTGGGGGAGCATGGAGATATCATCAGTTATCTTGAGGAAGAGGAAAAAGAATAGGTCTGTGTAGATACATGGGTGGAAACTAGAACCATTGGGTAGAAGTAACAGAAAAACCTGCTTCCATTCCATTAAAGAAAATTTTCTAATTGTTATATTGTACAGAGTTCAGAAGGAAACTGTTTTAGAAAGTAGTGAGTTCTCTGGTGGTGGAGTTCCTGGACTGGCGGTGGTACTTTGTGAAGATTATAGCATACAATTGCTGAGAGCATTAAATGAACTTTTAAATCTTTTCTGGCTGACAGGTCTTATGATATTATGAAAATGTGATATAGGCATTTTATAGTAAAGACATAGAGACATTCTTTCATAGAGATGTCTGAGTCTGCCTTTGGATACAGTGTGTATCTCTAGTACAAAACATGTGGTAGTTATTTAATAAATACTTGCTAAGTAATTTGTCGGGAAAGATATCTGAGGGTTAGCAGGCCACCATCTTCAAGAGATATAGGGTCATTTAAAAAAATAGCCTTCCCAAAGAAAACAAAATCAACATATAATAGATCTGGAATTTTTAATTACCATTTAAAAACTGCATTCCTCCCCTACACCCTACACCCCTTCAAAAAAAAAAATAACAACAATACTGGGTAGAATATGTACAACACCAGGGATGCATAATTTCCATTAAACCTTCAAAAAATTCTACAAGATGGATGCACATCACATAATCAAATGGTACTATGAAATCAGATTCCTGGTACCTCAGTCATTACTTTCTGACCCCAGCATCAGACTTGATAGGCAGTAGATTTATCAGACTAAACATAAGCCAAAGGTAGAGAGGAAAATCACTCAAGAAATGGTTTTCATATCGAGGTTCACTCTCTCATTCTGTCATAGATGTTGGGATTGTTTTGGTAATACTTTGTGATGGTCAGCTACTCTTTTTGAGTATGGACAGAGAGTGAGCAATCTCCCCAGTCTCTATGGGATGATGTTATTTGTGATGATGTCCCTGATAGGTGTTCCCATGTGGAAATTTGTATTCCTTTTCTAGTCTCTACCATATCCCTCTACAAATGAAGTCCTTGTTTTCTTCTAGATAATCGATGTATATGGAGTGGAGTTGCCAAGTCATTCTTTGCCTATAAGTCCTCTCATCCAACCAAGGGGTACTTATATCATCAATGGAATTTTTTAAATTTGAGAACTTAGGTTATATAAAAAGAATAATTCCCTAATATAATTCTCTTAAGTTTAAGTTCTATATATCTACTTAGAATGAGTAAAGAAAAATGGTTATATGCTTCACATAGCATTTGGTATTCCGGGATAGTATCCTTTAATTTTGTAGATTTTGGAGGAAGTTTAATGGAAGTTATACATCCTTCATATACCTTATGTCCTACCCATTTGGGTGTGTGTGTGTGTGTGTGTGTGTATAACAACTTATTAATGTTAATTAAAAATTCCAGATTTATTGTAAACTGATTTTGTTTTCTTTGAGAAGACTATTAGTTTATTTTTATCTCTCTCTTTTTTTTAAGAGTTGTTTCCCCTGCCCCAACCTTTTGGGACGAATTTGTGGATTTCAAAAATATAATATTCATAGAAGGTCAAACTTATGTTGCATTTATTCTTGTTTGGGGAACTACATGAATTCTTTTTATTATTCTGTGATGCTTTCACTGACCATTCCAATTCAAAGCAGACTTTTTCTTTCTATGTATTCATCTTATTTGCCCTAATCATTTGGTTTTACCCCAAAATACAAAGCTATATTTATATCTTTATTTTATGTCTCTTTCATTATATAATCCAAACTTGGGAGTAGGGATCTTGCCTTTATATATCTTGCATAATTTTCTGTGTGGTGTTTTGGACAAAGGAGTTTAGGAACTTAACAGTAGTCTAGTCCAATCTGCTTATTCTGTAGATAGAAAACTCATAGTTTGTTGCTCGATTTGATGCACATTTAGTATTTACATGCATACCAGTATAGCATGAATATAATAAACCTTGAATTAGGGTGTAATTTCATTTGAAACTAACAAAAAGTCTTAGAATGGAGGACTTTCAGGCCACCACTACCACAACAATATTTCTATTGCCCTTCATAGTTTACAGAGCTCTTTTACATATATGATTTTGTTATATCCTCAGATCCTCAGAAATTCTTTGAGGTAGAGAGGTGATTTTATTGTTGCCATAATTAAATAATGATACTAAGACCCAAAGAACCAACTTGCTAATAATTGATAGAGCTGAGGCTGTAACCTAAGACTTTGAATTCCAAGTGTTGTATGTGTCCTATTATATCAGGTTGCTTCTAGATTATCTATCCAGTCCTGTTGTTAGTGGACAAGATTTCCTTTCAATAAATCAGTCATTCAATAAGTGTTGACTGAATGCTGGGGTTGTAATACAGAGCACATTTTCAGCTGCATTTGGGAAAATAAGACTCCTATAGCATTTGTTCTTACACAAATATATACCCACTTACACAAGTACTCACCTATTTATTATAACAGTTATCACATTGAATTGTAACTTGTCTTTTTTACATGTCTGTCTCCCCAACCAGATTGTGTGCTTCTTGAGAATCCTCTGATTATTCTGTGAGCTCCTTTGTATCCTCAATGCCAAATACAGACTCTGGCACATAGGTGCCTAGTTTGTTCAGTTAATGAATGAATAATTCTGTGAATACAGACATGAAAGACATTTGCCCTCTGGGGGCTTACAAGTCTTCTTGGGGAGATAAAGCATGAAGTTTACAATAAATACAAAGATTTTTAAAAAGCAAATTGTTTTTTTTTTTTTAAGAGAAACTTTGTTTATAGGGTTTGTTTTTTTTTAACTAATATAAAACAGATTCCCAGCCTGTAGTTCATGTAATTGCTTCCCGGCGTCAGGATTGGTCAGAACATGAGATTGCAATGGAGACTAGCCCCACCATAATTTATCAGGATGTATCCAGTGAATCACAATCAGCTACTTCAACAATCAAAGCTCTGTTAGAACTCCAACAGACAACAGGTATGAACTCACATGCTCAATTGAATGAAGCATGTTTTCTCTAGAGATGGGTTGTGCTAAACTACTACCACTGTTCTATTTTCTTTGTTATTTGAGCACATTTCCCCCCTCTGGACTTGTCTATAATCATTGGTGCAGTCTTCTTACTTATCAGTTCATTAAGATGTGCACAGGAGCACTGAAGGATAGATATAGTCAGTAGGAAGGTAGAAAAAAATGGCAGAGCTTTCTTCTCTGTCTACTGACTTAAGTGGACAATCCTGTTGCTCTTGTCACCAGAAAGGAGTAGGTCTGTTACTTCTAAGTGGAAAGATAGATACAGGACACCAGCTCTATTCAAAAATAGTAGGAGGCAGATTGAAGGGCCCGTCATCCTCCTTGATATTGGTGGGACAGTTTTATGTTCATAAAACACCATTAATGGCCCTTTCTAGCATTCTGATTTGTTTTAATTTTATCTTCATATTTCTTTATATAATTTACTTACTTGAACTTCCATGCAAAACTATCCTCACAAGATTCTGTCAGTATTTCTAGTTACTAAATATCTTCAACGAACTAGGCAAAACCTGTGTTATAAATACTGACCTCTCTATTATAATAGGTCAAAGATTGTCAGAGTATTTAAGGGACCTTAGCAATGATCTCATCCAACCCTTTCATTTTATGGATAAGTAAACTGAAACTAGAGAGGTTACCCAGTAGGTTAGTGGCAGAGTGAGATTCAATGTCTTGATTCCTAGTTCAATGTCCTCTCTACTTATAGAGCGACTTCTGTATTCTTTTGGCTTTGTTTTGCTTTCTTTGTTTAAATGATTATCTTGATTTTGTCACATTATATGCTTTGTGCGAAAAATCTAAATGATCATTCAGTGGACTTGATTTTTGGTTACTACTCTTTGTTGTGACATCCACTCTACACTACCCCAAGAATACTAGTATTTAATGTAAGTCTTTGGTTAACATTTTAAAATATTGATATTATTTTTAGCCTTAGTCATTTCCTCAGCTCCTTGTTTTTTACATACTCAGCCATTTTCATTAATGCCTTATAAGAAGGTAGAAACTGAATGAGTAGATTCTGTGGAAAAAGTGATAAGATAAAAAAATAAATCTGTCCACAGAAACCATTCCTGATTCTAGACTATTCCAGAAGACTTTTTTTTTTTTTTTTTTTTTTGCAGGAACACAGAAGCCATTTTTTCTAATGTTGAAAATTTTTATTTTTTAAAAGTCATTAAAAATACTATAATATTTCTTTAGAGATTACCTTAAAATTTTAATAGAACAAATTAAACTGATCACTGAGTTGTGTAATTCAGGGTAGATGTGCCTGAGTGGAAATCATGCTATGTACTGCTTATTCACCCTTTGTTTTCAGGTTGGTGAACTCAAGGATACCAGGGACTCCCTTGAAGAAGGGTAAAGAAAATGTTGGAAGGGAAATGTGTATAAGGGAAACAGAACCAGTTGTCTGGCCTAATGATATTAGGGGGGGGATTTTACTCTGATTGCATTTGAGTCCTTTTTGCTAGGCTTTTGGGTATGATTGCACAAGTTGTGGACTCTATACCCTTGCATAGCAGTCTGATTTTTCCTTTTCACATCATTGTCTCCTTAGTCACTGCCAGTGTGGCACCCCAGAGGTCTGGTTCGTTATTCCCATGGACAACTCTGGTTTGGGTACTTGTTTGTAATAAAAGTTAACTTTTCCCCTGACTTTTTTATGCAGTAAAGGAAAAATTGGAATCTAAACCAAGACAACATACTATTGACTTGAGTCAAATGGCAGTGCCTATTCAGATGACCCAGGAAAAAAGACATTCTCCGGAGAGTCCATCAATTGCTGTAGTAGAGTCAGAACTCGTTGCTGAATACATCACTACAGGTAGGTATCCTTTTAAAAAGTAGTATTAAGGTAGGAGAGCTACCTTTCTGCATTTCATAGGGTGGTTGTTTGGGGGAGAATATATTTTTTACATTTCCAGATCTTTTTCACTTTGTCCTTGGGATTACTCTTTTATGACTAGGGGTTGGGGAGAGGCGGGTAATAGGTTGCTACAGTTTGCAAGTAATATAAAACTGCAAGTTGGCCATAAATAATATCTGTGACTATAGGGTAACACTTTTAGAGAGAGGATAAATATTTTTTTATCTAGAGATAAACATTTTTTATGCATCCGAACTTTTTAATTTTGGAGGAGGGGGAGAGATGGATCAAGGGAGAAAGAAGGTAAAAAATCCAATCCTTTTCTAATGTAAAGGAAAAAAATGTGGAAATTTTTAAGTTATTATAAATACTTATGAGTTCTGGTGGAAAGTGAATTAGGTATTTGTTTAAAATACAGCCTGGAAGCAAAATACTAATGAGGTTTTTGGATGTTGTATATAGAGAATGGAGCAGGAAGGATAATAGATTCTTTCAGATGCTGGTGAAATCACACCTGGAATACTGCTTTCTGTTTTGGACACTTCATTACCTTGAGATTTGAAATAGTTCAGAGAGTAGTAATGTGCATAATTCAGGGTTAGGAGAGAGGACTTATGAGGCACTATGTAAAGAACACCTGTCTTAAGTATTCCTTAGCAGTGATTAAAAGAGAACATAAAGTTAAAAATATTTGAAGGATGTAAATACTGAAGCAGAAAGGGAATTCTTTGGCTTCATTTTAGAAGATATTAAGACTAATGGGTTAAAATTGCCAAATGGAAAATCCATTTAAAGATTATGGAAAGCCATCTAGCATTTACTTCAGAGATATTTAGCAGAAAGCTAAATAAAGCAGAGGGCAATATGTTAGGGAATCAGTATTGACCTCGGTATAGACTAGATTATCATAAATAGATGAAAAGACCCATGATTTCTTCCCATACTTATCCTTTTCAGAATGCAGTGATGAGGGGACAGAGGTTGCTTTTCCCCTTCTAGGTGAGTGGTGTGCATCCATTTGTTGTATAACCAAAGGTAAAAAGATGATTGTTTGGGGGAGAACCACTTCAATGTATACGCTCTACTCTGATCTGGTAGAGGAAAGGAAAGCTCCAATCAATGAAAGAAAGGAAGAGAGATTTTCTTTTTGCAGAATAGTGGGATTTTTTCTCAGAAATAAACAATTTGATATTGGGGGGGAAAAGAGTTCTTTAAAGAAATAAGTGAGTTTATGGTATTTATTTGGCCCAGTTAAGCTGTTTTCCAGTGTTCACCCTGTGGCCTCCTTCCAGATGTAGGCATACTAGTATGTACATACAGCAACAATAGAAAAATGCATTTTTGAGTATAGATAGAAAGTATTATAGAAATAAAGCTTGTTTATATTTCACTGGATAGTTTTAAAGTTCTGTACTTATAACACATAAATGGCATTTTTACATTGATTTCTGTAGTGATCATCTTACACTTGGATACCCCACTGATGACTTTTCTAAGTATGAAACCACTACTACTTGAAATTGCAGATCAAGATATATGAGCATTAGCCCTCGCCAGTTTGGCTCAGTGGATAGAGCGTCAGCCTGTGGACTGAAGGGTCCCAGGTTTGATTCCAGTCAAAGGCACACGCCCAGGTTGCGGGCTTGATCCCGGGTAGGGGGCTTTCAGGAGGCAGCTGATCAATGAGTCCCTCTCATCATTGATGTTTCTATCTCTCCCTCTCCTTTCCTCTCTGAAATAAATAAAAATATACATATATGAGCATTAGAATCATGGATTATGGAGTTTTCATATTCTCAAATTCTTAGCTTATTTTCTAGAATTCTTTACTCTGTTCCTGATTCAGAAAGTTGGTTTCTCAGTAAATATAAGCATTTTTAAAGCTGTGTAGAATAAGAAGCAGTGAATGTTTGTACTGTTTAAAATGTTGAAATTCAGGCTGGTAAAATATGATCGATTGGCATCAATATAGATAGTTTACTACATGGGATCTTTGTAGCAAAAAAAAAAGTGGGGTTATTTCAATGTATACTCTTATTTGGGTCAGATGAGCTAAGAGAAGATGTATTATTTTGTTAACTTTATATTTTAGTACTTAACAACTTAAGGAATGTTTTCAATCCATTACTTCATTTGGTCCCCTTCTAGGTAGAAACAAATTATTATTATCCCATTAAAAAACAAAAATCAAACAAACCAACAAAATCTCTTAAGTTTTAGAGGTTAAATAAAGTTTACATGACCTCTTCAAATTCCCATAGCTGGTTGGTGGCAGCGTGGGGCAGAATCCAGATGTGACTCTTACTGATGACACTCTCTGCAGTATCATCTTGATCTCTTACAGCTTTAGGAACTGTAAGGCTATCTAATCTAATAAAAGAGAAACATGCAAATTGACTGTACCTTTGCTATGTCCCAAGCCACACCCACCAGCCAATCAGAGCAAATTAACCCAATCAAGATGGTGGCCGCAGCCATGGAGCTGGAGCAAGCAGGAGGCTTGGTTGCCCCGGCGATGGAGGAAGCCAAGCTTCCCGCCTGCCCTGGCCAGCTGTGGCCTCCGCTAAAGGCAACAAAGTTTCAATTATAGAAGATAAATAAATCCCAGACACCTGCTTCCAGCCAGCCTCCACTGGGAGCTTGGGTAGCTGGGGGCCGTGGCCAGCCTGCAAACAGCCATCAGCCCCTCACCCAGGCTGGCCAGGCACCCCAGCGGGGACCCCCACCCTGAAGGGGCTGTGGCCAGCCTGCAAACAGCCATCAGCCACTCACCCAGACTGGCCAGGCACCCTAGCAGGACCCCTCACCCTGAAGGGGGTGTGGCCAGTCTGAAAACGGCCCTCAGCCCCTCACCCAGGCTGGCCAGGCACCCCAGTGGGACTCCCACCCTGATC